AGTGCATATTGTGTTGAAGCACAAAAAGAGATATTTTTTGTGCCTTCTATATTTCATAAGTCTGTTCAGTTCTAAATAACTTTTTTTTTTTCTATTTGCAAAGTTTATAAACAGCCAATGTTGCCACTGTGGCATGGAGCTTCAGAACTGCCTGATGCAAGCAAGTGGTTTACGCTATTGCTGAGATTTGTTAAGTATGTCTGGTTTTCTCGGCCGAACACCGTCTTTCTAGTTATGAAGTAATTATGGAGGAGACTGTCAGCTGTATCACTTCTTATCTTAGAGGCTCATCAGCCTGCTTTAAATCCACCAACAGCAGAGTAAACTTTAAATGCTTGAAACAAGGTCTCATCGAGAATGGTTCCTGTGCTTCTCCACATCTTGTGGTTATTTAGAAGCTATCCCTATGGACTTACGATCAGATAATGAGGCGAAATGAGACAGCTGGGATCTTGCACCAGTGTAACATTGCGTATTAACATGAATCTTGAGAAAACAGTGTCAAAGTTAACAGCACTTTCTGGTAAATATATTCCACGGATGTGAACATTTTGTGTTTAAGTTGTTTTCTAAATGCTAAAATTAGCTGAAACATTGGCACCCAACAGAATTAGGTCTTAGAAATGCCTCACTTCTCAACAAACTCACTCTGAAGTACAATCATTCCACAAGGGAATTATTACTGGTGGCAACTTCACAGAACTTCAAAAAATATGAAATACCCCCCTCATTTAGACCAGTTTGGAGTTCTGGTCTCCCTGACCTGCTTCACAGCTGGTACAAAGAGACCAGTAACATGTGCATAAGAGCTTTAACACTTGTAAGTCAGCTTTGAGAGCTGCTTTTGTTACTTTGTCCTACTGTGTGCGTTATGCCTCTCAGAGAAGAGGTCAGAGAACCTTAACAGCAATGCACATGTAGCAATTACTAAGGAGGTGTTGAGAACAGTAGCTTATTTAAATTAGGTTTTTTTCTCCTCTTTTTTTGCAATGCTTCTCCTGCGACAAAAAGAAACAGCAGAGCGTTCTCTTCCCCTCTCTCTTTCTGTCTCTCATTCTGTGCTTGGTAGTTTGACGCCCGCTTCGGGGCTCAACATCAGAGGAGCGGCTGCTGAAAAAAACAGGTTGTATGGGTCCTTGCACACAGCCTGCCTGTGGTGCTGCCTGAAGGACTGCCATGGAAACAAGGAGTCTGACAGGCTCCAGGGGGATCCGCCACAGCTGCAGGCACTTCCTTTTTGACAGCCTGATGAAGACATCACTGCCACACCATGCACAACAACAACAACTACTGGAAAAAAAAATATGATCAAACAATGTTAACTGCTGTGTGGCTGAAATGTTCATTAGCGGGCTTGTAAAACATCTAGGGATTTCCCCCCCACCACATTTGGGGACCATATTGCACAGTGACTTCCTCTAGTGAGATTTCTAAGTGACTGTCCCAGGAGAAAATAAACTGATAAATAATTCCCTAAATATGATTCTACCACTCTGAGGGGCTTATACTGTATGTGTTTGTGAATGTATGCGTGTAAGCAAAAAAAGTGTGCACTGGTGCGTGAAAAGTCAAATCAACAATTGTTGAAGCCCTTCAGAGTCTCGTCTATATTCCACTGAATATGAATGATACAGGAAACGTCCAAGAGCATCACCTCTGTGTCACAGATTGAGAGATGTGACAGCTTGGAGGGTGGTAAATGTAGTCCCAGGGGAACTCCTATATTGTCATTCACACTACTGGCTTCAATAATACCTCTATATATTATCATATACCATCAATATTTCATTAAAAACTACAATGACCAACTAAACACATTCAGATTAAAAAATGGAGAAATACTCAGAGCAACATTTGAAAACTTTTATGTTTTTTTGTAAATTAACACACAAAAATGTCTTATCTTAACACTAATTAATTCACACCTTTCATAAGTCTGTATCAACAAACATACTGCAAAAGACTCTTGACCAGTTTCATTTTCCATATCAGAATCAGAATTACTTTATCAATCCCTTGCAGGAAATTCTTTTTTTGCATTGCAACCATTTACAGGAGAGAGAAAAAGTAAGATTGTAAATGAAAATAAGATTTAAGAATAAAATAAGGTTATATTGGTGTCTTGGTAGATATCTTGATGATAGGGATAGCATTACATCTATTTGGTAAAGCTATTGCTTCTGTTTCAATTTAAAAGTCTCAAAATTCTATCCCAGCTCACACTGAGCCTGGTTCTGCTGGAGGTTTCTTCCTGTTAAAAGGGAGTTTTTCCTCTTCACTGTCGCTACAAGCATGCATAGTGTGAGGGATTGTATTTGAGTCAATGCAATCAACTGGTTTTCCTTAGATAGAAAACTTTGTATCAATTTGACTGTAGGATCTGGTTGAACTATAAAAAGTGCCTTGAGATGACATGTGTTGTGAATTTGGCGTTATATAATAAACTGAATTGAATTGAAAATTGGGAGTTTTGCAGCATGGCTTTTTGACTTTGTATATGACAATAGCTAAATGAACAATCTTGCATACCCTCAGAGTAATCAGGGAATATCTAGTTTTTAATATTCTAAGTAGCTAACAGTATATTCATGGAATCCACTCTACGTTTACTCCCCATTCCAATTGTCACAAAGAACATTCTACAATTCATATGTGACTGAGGATTCCGTGATTACTCTGAGGACACCAGAATATATTTTTGCTTTTAGTTATGCAGATGATCAAACAAATCAATCAAACCAGGACAACCTACGCAAAAGGTGTCTTTAAGCGATGATTGAATTTAGTTGGGGAAAATACCTATTCAAGGAACACGGCTCTAGTAAAATTCCCCCCTGTACCTAATGACTTGTTTCACCTCCGGGGGGGAAAAAAACTGAGAAAAAGATCCAACAAGCCTTTTCAAATACTGGCAATGAGTGAGGCCTGCCAATTACATACAGTAGGGGAAGTGTTAAGAATAAACTAATAAACCAAAATAACACAGATGACAAGAGCTGTAACAGCAGTTCATTATTTAAACGAGCAAGTAGTTACTTTAGAACGGTTTTAATTAACGGCCATTTTGGCCTCTTGTTGCATATAAATGTCCTGTCCAACACTTTTATAATCAGAACATTCAGTCCCAAAGCACATCAACAATAAAAGGAAATAACACATAAACCTTACCTTTACCATGAAAAAGAATTTAGACAGTATATCAACTTTACTCACAACTGGAAAAGCACGAGAATATGAAATCTGTAAGAGTTCAAATCTTTTTTTTCTTTGTTTGACATTAAACAGGCTTTGCAACTTATTCCAGGCAATAAATTATTCTTAATAAAGTAGTTTAGTTATCAGGTTTTTTTTTTTATGTACATATATTCATTCATATTCATTTTTTATATTCTAACGGCTGTACTTAGAATTGGAGAGCTTGATGTTGTAGTTGTTTGTTGAAATGTCAGTTAAAAATACCCAGGGAGTCTTGCTTAATTGGTTTTACCTCTTGGGAACACCTCGTTGCATCCTGTGAGTGCTTGTACGGTTGTATTCACCTCCTCCTTTTTTTTCTGCACGCCAAAACAAGCCACTCCCCCACAGCCTCAAAGGAGCCAAGAATGTTGGAGGTTTTTCAGCCAGTGTGTGAGTGTAGTGTGTGTTGGATTGGGGGGTTAGCTTCTCAGAAGCTCAGGGTCACCTCCACACCCTCTCACTTTGAAACGGACCCCTGGTGGCAGCTCCTGGGAGATCCCAGTGATGTCTCTATCAGCCTGTCAAAAAAGATAGCCCGGGGCTTCACTAGGTCCCCTTGAGCCAATCAAACCCCTCACAAAGCACAGATGGATGCTCTTTCACCAGCATGCCGCTCTTGAGGAGGGGTCACCCAGCCATGCTGCTCAGTCCCCCAATCAGAGCTCCCATTGCAGGGGCCCATTCCTAAGCTCAACTTCAATTATGGCCGAGTAAATTTTGAGTGCATTTGTTTTCACCAACTATGCTGCAAGCAAACCTGGTTAAATTGGCTCCAATCGTTGAATGTGAGAACAATTTAATTTTGGTCCGACTGTTCTCCAAAAACGGAAATGTCATGATGTGTCTGAATATTTTCAAATGTGTGCTAAAGAGCAAGTAAGCACTGACAGACTAACAGGCTGCATCCGTCACACACTGGAAAACCATTGCGGGAAGACTGATGGAAAAAACCGAGCAAATCTGTGTGTATGTGTAACCATTAGACCAAGCCAGGTGATTTTAGTGGAAATATAAAGCACTAAGTGCTGAGGATGGAGAGAGAGTACTCTGTGAGATGAGCTCTTTCTCTCTCATCTGGACCCTGTTATTGTGAGAAGGCACAAAGCGATGCATTAGGAAGCACACTGGAGCCACACGGCTTTGATGTAAGCTCGGTAACCAAGGCACAGCGGTGGTCGGCGTGTGAGCTCAATTTCAATAGATGTGTTGTGTAATCAGATGTGTTTACCGTGTATTCACGTAAAGAAGTGGCGTAATCCATCCTCGCTGGGATAGCGCTATGGGGGGGGGGGGACATAAAAAGAAAAACTCAATTTGATCAAGATTCTTTATTCAAACTCTCCATTTTACGATGCATACATGATACTTTCAAATAAATTGAACATAAAACAAAAACTCAAGTGCAGGTAGCTAGAATTAACACATGTTTACAATATAAATACTTGTTTATTCATAAGACAGAGTAAGAAAAGCAGCAGCATTAACATTTACACGGAAAACCATACCACAGATTATATATAAGTTGCAGTACACTTTAATAAAACTGATTTCATGTGATCTTATGATAAACAGCTCACTACATTGAAGAATAAAAACACAATGTTGCCTCTTTGAGTTGTTATTGGCTTTACCCTGAGACAAATTTCTTAGCCACACCAAATTAATTTGAAAAAAATGTTCTTAGGTAGGTCAAACCTGATGTCTTCACTTCCTTTTTAAAAAAATTTTTCTCAAAGATGAGGCTTGAGCCTTGTAGACCTCCGTTTTTTTTTTTTTTTTTACCTCCCAGCTTGTGATTGACAGCAGCATGTGCTGCCCTCCTAGCTGCTTCAGTTCACAGCCCCTGTCAGGGGGGGTGGCAAACACACAAGGCACGGAGCGGCTGGCTGCCCCTCAGCAGCAGGAGGCAGCGTCGGGGTGGTGCGGCTGGGTATGTGAGGTCACAGGTTCAGTTGGTTCTGGAGCATTGTTGTCAGGTGGATTGCAAAGTAACGCAAAAAACAAAAAGAAACGAAAAAAAAAAGAGGAGAAGACAGAAAGGAAGACCAGCCTTTCATCCAGCATTTCTACTGTGCTTACTTCTTCTTTTTTGGCTGGTTTTGTCCAGTGGGTGCTCTCAGCACACTGTACTGCACCTGTAAAAACAAACAGGAGTTTGGTCAGAAGCAGGTAATCGGAGCTCAGTGGAGCGCACAGTAATGGCTCCCCTGAGGAGAGCTGGTGCAGAGCAAAGCAAGGCGGCCTTGCCTGTAATGAATCATTTTTTAAACACAGGAGCAGAGGGGATTAATCACAGGGAGGAAGGATTTGAGAAGTCAAGGGTTCTCTGCAAGTGTACCCCTCCCTTCATTCTGCACCAGAATCAGATTATTAGAAACAGACATCAACTTTTTAGATGACCTGCCAGGCCAGTAAAGAAAGGGTAAACTGCGTAATCACTCTCGGTTGGATATGTCTATGAAAGAAAACTTAATTCAACTTTAATGCTTGCAGTTGAATCAGGAGAAAAGCTGCCTCCAGTCTACATCTATGGTGCAGTACTGGTACTATAATTAAGACTATTGTGCACACAGCAGTATGCACTACCAAGTGGCCACCACTAGGAAACAAGAAAGAAAGAACTGACCTATGTCACCTTTGGAGAGGCTGGTGACCAGCATGACACTTGAATAAAACTTCTGCTGTTGTCTATTAGCAAAGAAAGGCTGCTGTTAGCATTGGATAGTGTTCCTCGGCAAGTCATCCATTATAATAAATGCATGAGGCTGAAGTTGACCTCCAACTGCAGCTTACTTTGTTATTCTAGACTAATAGGAGAAATTAAACTTTGTTTTTCATTCATCAAACCTTTATCTAACTTGTAAAATGCTTTTTAATTTTTACTTTTTCCTTATCAAAAGAGCATCAGAATCAGCAGTCATTCCATTTAACTTATTTTGAGTTTTCTTTAAGTCACTATCTTTAAGTGTCAATAATGACAATAATAGCACTGTAGTTTTTTAGGTAGACCAGTTCTGATGTGGACCAAATGCACAAGAAAATATCGAATTTATATTTGATTGCATTTTCACAAATGACATAAAAGGTTTAACAAATCCCAAACTGCATTTATTATATTCTCCCATTACTCTAAAATCCAGGTTTAAAGAGTCTAAGTGTTTTGTTTTTAAAGTAGGGCAGATAAAATTTCTAAGGTACTGTAGTTAGAAAAAGGGTTGATTAGCCCTTTAGGCGTTTCCCGATTTTGAAGCTGCAATCATGAGTCAGCTTTAGCTTTATGCATCTATTATAGTGAATGACCAGCCGAGGTATGCTGTCCATTGCTGACACCAGCTTATCTGTTCAAATAGACAACAGAGGAAGTCGACTATGCCATGATTCACCAGCCTAGGTATGCTGGGCAGCATCCTCTCCAAAGCTAACAGAGGTGGATTCTCTCCTTCTCAGTTACTAGCTTCGGTTTCTCATTTCCCAGCGCCAGCCTCTCATTCAATGGTGCCTATGGTTAGGTATATGGGTATTAAATAGGTGTAAATATGAGCTAAAGTAAAATACTGGCATGAAGCTGTAAACAAGACAGTTTTTTTTTTTTTTTTACGTAACCACTCTGTGTCAGATAATATTGATTTATGTTTTAACTTATTTTTATGTTAAAGCTACAGTGTGTAATTTTCAGCGACATCTAGCGGTCAGACTGCAGACTGCAGCAACATGAACGTCTCCCCCCCACCGCTTCTCCCCCCCAACAGTACGGCGAGCGTTACGGGACAAAATGTCTTCCACGACGTCCGCATCACCTACCTTCTCAAGTGATGAGGTAATTGTAGTCATTAGTTTAACAGCGAGATTGTGTTCGCTGGAAGAATATATATTCCCCGTTTACAGAGTCCAAGTCTTGTTTGTGGCACGGGGGTTACAAGGCAAGGAAGAGGGAAAGGAAGAGGGCAGAGAGGCCGGGGTGAGCGTGCAGCTAGGGCCAGGCGAGAGAGGGGAGCCAGCGGGGTGAGAGCAGAGGAGGAAAGGCTTGAAGATCTCCAAAGGAGCCGGAGAGAAGTAACCGAGGTATATATCCAGAAAATTATTTTACAGAAAATTACTGAATCATTACCTGTGAAACGTCAGGGACGTTGCTGAATAAGTATACTGGAGAGTAACAGCATCATCACGCAGCATGTTATTGTTTTAGACAGGTCTGAGCATCCTGTACTCCAAAAACTGCAGTGATATTAGACAATTGTGTGTATAGGATTAATTACCTGTCCAAGAGAAAACTGGCAACTTGAGCGTCACTTTGAAAACCTTTTTCCTCCATCAGTGACTTCCATCGTGTAAATGCCGTGCCAATGTTGATCCGTGTTTTTTGTCGTTTCTTGTCACTCTTGCGTTTATTCTCGTCGTGTTTCCGCTTCTTAGATGACGGGGGTTCGGTGTCCGCCGCTTTTCGTTGTGATACAGAGTAGGCATGATCCTCCATTCGTCTGATGTTTGGCCACACAGTGCCAAACAGTTTGCAAAGTCACTCACGCCTGCCGCCTTGTTTACCTTTCTTGTTACCGAGGCGCAGTATACCTGCTTCTTCTTCTTCTTTGGTTTCAGGCAGACTAAACGCTTCTCAGGCATAATACTGCCATCTACTGTTCAGTACCGTCTCAGTTCATCTCTCTCAACTTGCCGTAGTTATTTTCGAGCGTCATGGGAGATCTCGCAATCGCTAGTTTGTTGCCTCTGCGCTGCCGTAGCGCAAAGATGTCAGCCTCCATGGCTGCGAGACCCGCTCCTATGTAATTATAAATAACGAATTCTAAGGCAACGCAAATGTTATGGTTAAAAGGCTGAGCTCATAGGTGATGATAAATAACATAGTTATGTATAATATATTAAATTTCTGAATTTATATGCCTGTTATTATTACACACTGTAGCTTTAAGTTGTTTAAAACTGACTAATGTTTTGGGAAAAAAATTATCATCCAGTAACATGAAAAAACCTATTTTTTTCTCCTTGCATATTAATTGTTTTTTCTAACTTTTTGCCTGGATTAAACCAAACTTTTGTGGTAATTAAAGTAATTAAGAATTTAGTGACCATAGTAACGGAAGTATGACAGGAAATGGGTGAACTGCAAAAGACGAGGCAAAACATCTAGCAATAGTCTGATGAACCCCAGATGACCCCAATCTTTGACCAAGCTGTTCCAAAGCTTTTTTGTGATTTTCATATGCCATTTTGGGGTGCCCTGCTTGGGATCATTGTCCTACTGCATAATAATAAGTAAGCTTGAGTCATGATTTGAACATGATTAAACATTTGTTTTCTGTGAAAGAATAGTTTCCCCAAAGATCTTCTATTTGAAATGTAAGCAGAACTTTATGTTCACTTTGGTCAGCAGTGATTTTAGCCTTTGAACTTTCCCATAGATATCAATCTTGCCCTTGGTTGTAACTGAACCAAATATGTGGTTATTGTCACAGTTATTTTAGGATCTTTACAAAGGTAAAAAAAAACAAAAAACAAAAAAAAAAACATATATTCACATACTATATGGCCAGTTTGGGTTAGAAAGCTTTTTTACCCTTCAAATCATTTCACCACTCAACAACAACTTGCATAGCTATTCAGGTCTTCTGACAGTACTGTCCCATAAGAAACATAACGAGCAAGTTGTTGCTCAGAGTTATGAAGAGCTAATTGATTAATGGCATACAAAATCCATAACTGATAGCAACAGGGTGTGATACAGGTTTTCCTAAACATCATAAACAATAACGTTGTACGATATGACCATGTCGAGCCTTTTTATAATCATCTCTTTAATTCCTCAACAATTCACTAATCAGAGCTGGGTAGTACATATGACAAAAATATTAGTTTTACTAAACCATACTTTTTACTTTCATTTTAAAGACATCCTAGTAGACCATCACTAGTCTTGAGTAGCAATGATTTGAGCAAAATATTTGGCTACTAAACATCACCAAATAATGAACAATCTTTAAAAAGAAAATATTCTCCAGACAAATACACAAAGTTATTGTTCATGTCAAAATTTGTGTTTTGGAGGTAAAGCTAATATACAGTAAGCAGTAAATATCGCCACTGAATGTTTTGTTATAATAAGTTCAATTTTAAAAATAGAATTGATGTGAAAAAGTGTTTCTTCTGCCTGGAATCATCACTTATTAATCATATTATTTGTTTGTCTTATTTATATACAGGTGCTGGTCATAAAATTAGAATATCATGAAAAAGTAGATTGATTTCAGTAATTCCATTTAAAAAGTGAAACTTGTATATTATATTCATACATTACATACAAACTCATATTTCAGATGTTTATTTTGTTTAATTTTGATGATTACAAATGACAACAAATGAAAATCTCAAATTCATCATATCAGAAAATTAGAATATTGTGAAAAGGTTCAAAATTGATGGCCCCTGGTGTCACACTCTAATCAGCTAATTAACTCAAACCACCTGCAAAAGCCTTTAAATGGTCTTTCAGTCTAGTTCTATAGGCTACACAATCATGGGGAAGACTGCTGACTTGACAGTTGTCCAAAAGACGACCATCGACACCTTGCACAAGGAGGGCAAGACACAAAAGGTCATCGCTAAAGAGGCTGGCTGTTCACAGAGCTCAGTGTCCAAGCACATTAATAGAGAGGCGAAGGGAAGGAAAAGATGTGGTCGAAAAAAGTGTACAAGCAAGAGAGATAACCGCACCCTGGAGAGGATTGTGAAACAAAACCCATTCAAAAATGTGGGGGAAATTCACAAAGAGTGGACTGCAGCTGGAGTGAGTGCTTCAAGAACCACCACACACAGACGTATGAAAGACATGGGTTTCTGCTGTCGCATTCCTTGTGTCAAGCCACTCTTGAACCACAGACAGCGTCAGAAGCGTCTTGCCTGGGCTAAAGAGAAACAGGACTGGACTGCTGGTGAGTGGTCCAAAGTCATGTTCTCTGATGGAAGTAAATTTTGCATTTCCTTTGGAAATCAAGGTCCCAGAGTCTGGAGGAAAAGAAGAGAGGCACTTCATCCACGTTGCTTGAAGTCCAGTGTAAAGTTTCCACAGTCAGTGATGGTTTGGGGTGCCATGTCATTTGCTGGTGTTGGTCCATTGTGTTTTCTGAGGTCCAGGGTCAACGCAGCCACATACCAGGAAGTTTTAGAGCACTTCATGCTTCCTGCAGCTGACCAACTTTTTGGAGATGCAGATTTCATTTTCCAACAAGACTTGGCACCTGCACACAGTGCCAAAGCTACCAGTACCTGGTTGAAGGACCATGGTATCCCTGTTCTTAATTGGCCAGCAAACTCTCCTGACCTTAACCCCATAGAAAATCTATGGGGTATTGTGAAGAAGAAGATGCAATACACCAGACCCAACAATTCAGAAGAGCTAAAAGCCACTATTAGAGCAACCTGGGCTATCATAACACCTGAGCAGTGCCACAGACTGATCGACTCCATGCCACGCCGCATTGCTGCAGTAATACAGGCCAAAGGAGGCCCAACTAAATACTGAGTGCTGTACATGCTCATACTTTTCATGTTCATACTTTTCAGTTGGCCAACATTTCTATAAATCCTTTGTTTTTATTGGTCTTCAGTAATATTCTAATTTTCTGATATGATGAATTTGAGATTTTCATTTGTTGTCATTTGTAATCATCAAAATTAAACAAAATAAACATCTGAAATATATGAGTTTGTATGTAATGTATGAATATAATATACAAGTTTCACTTTTTAAATGGAATTACTGAAATCAATCTACTTTTTCATGATATTCTAATTTTATGACCAGCACCTGTATAATATAAGATGTTATGATGAGATTGTGTAGCATTTTTACCACATTCATTTTAACTAGAGTTATTGTTTGTATTGTTACTTTCTATTCCTACCAGAGTAAAAGCATGTTTAAGTAGGGTTACTCTTACTTGAGTATAGATTTGTCTTAACTACCAAATAAACAAGCTTTTACTATGTGGTTATGTTTATGTGAATTGGTTCACCTGCAGCTACAGACCTGAGGAAACTGGGGATAAGGCATCACCCCTCAGAATAAAAAATAAGGGTAAAAATTGGTAAAAGGCTGAATTGACCTTGAATGTTTTATTTGTCTCTTTCTGCTACTTACATATGTTGAATTTCATTTAAAAGCAAGTTCCATTTATTAGATCATATACTCAAATATTTATTAAAAATTCTTCTATTTTGACGCCAGAAAAATTACTTATTTTTCTTTTTCTAATTGTAGCCATAACCCAAAGAAGGGGAATCATAAGTTTAACAGGAAAAAAGAGCAGTTAGAATCTGAAATCCAGCTTTTGAAGTTCCCTTGCTGAGCTCAAACAATACAGTGAATCTGTTGAATGAAAAAAGGTAAGAGCTCTATGCTAATTAGCCATTCTCCATTATTAGAACAGGAGATAGAATGTGGGAACAAAGTGTCTACCTCCTGCATCAGCACATGAAACTGTCCTCAGAACTGACAGATGCTTCTTATTTCCAGACAGACACGGCGTTGTCAGAAGTCCCCGTTTGAGGCACACTTTGTAGACGTGCAAAGGCACTAATTGCCAAGTCACATTAGCAAGAAAGACAGAAGTCAATTTTCCATCTTTTTGCTGTTTTGTGTCCACACCTATCGGAAGATTGAAGTTCTAAGTCAACAAAAACAAACAACAAAAAAGAAATGAAAAACTGCTGTATTGTTTGAATCTCCTGTGTATATGATGTTAAGATTTTTTTTCTTCCACAGGAAATAATGGAACACACGTATGATGAGTCTTAAGGGTGCTTTGTTTTTTTATGACTGGAGCCATTTTCAAGATGTAGTTCGTCTTTTAAACCAAACTAAAAAGTATTGTTTCCATGGGATTTGAAAGAGAGTCATTTTCAAAGCTCTAACACCGTATCCCAATGGGGTAGAAGGACATACAAAGGATTCAGAATCAAAATGCCTTCGCCACCTTGTTTTGCCAACTCAGTCAGCCAAATCTCTAACAACACAGGCTCCCTCCAACATCACAGAAGAGTCAGCGCCGGCTTGCTGCAGGAGGACATCAAGGGTGCAGCTGAGAAACAGAGCGAGGTGAGAGTGTCTTGCCAGATTCAGACTGTCAGGATTTCTTGCTCCGGTGAGCTACCTGCGAGATGAAGGCATTGTGTTGGCACTTCATTTCCTGCCTGTGCAAAATCTTCAGTCAGTGGACGGCAAGCTGCAGACACTTATAACAGACCTGACAGCTCTTCTCGGATCTGAGATGTAAATGCAAATGACATATCAGCCGTGGCTAATATGTAATCACATATGGCACCCAGCAAGATGATCGAGGCTCACGAATAAATTAATTGACTCTACCACCCTGAAGTGACTGAGGCCACGTCAGAGTTTCTGGGCTGACATAACAGCCAGAGTTGTCAGGAAAACACTCTGACTGCCTGATCTCAGCCAATCACCAGCTCCTGGGTCGCTTCAATCAAACACGCAAAATTGCTAATAACGGACGAGGCTGCAGCCAGATAGCCGAGGAGAGATCTGAGCACCTCCTCGTTCAGGCACGGCGGTGACTGAGGATGGGGAGTTGCACACTGAGGAATAATTGGGCCAGGGCTGCTTTAAAGGCGAGAGTCCATTAATAATCAAACAAAGCCAGAGGATATATTTCTGCAACACATGGGAATTGCAGTACAGCAAATAATGCAGACATCTTTAGGGAATTCCATCCCTATCTGTATGTAAAATTGGACCCTTACCTTCTGAACATCAGAAGGCACCCTCTGGAGGAAATCCAGTATTTCATTACTGTCAATACTATATGGGTTGCGCAGTTTCTTGGTAAATTTGTTAATGCCTGTGAAAATAAGCACAGATAAACACATTCATAAATAAAAGCTGTCATAAAAAGCTGTATTTTTTAACAGAACAGTATTGTCTACTAGAGTTGTAACCATTGCACCATAGGATACTAAGCTTTTTTCCATCGTTAGATTTATTCCAAATGGAAAAAAAAACAAAAACACGAGAGGTATTGATTTGATAAGATTCGATTTGAACAAAACTCAAGAAACTTTTCTTACTTTTTTTTTCTTAAATCTGTCAGTTTCTTGTATATCTATATTTTTTTACAGATTGCTGCTGAAAGAAAAATATATCTCCAGGGCCTTATTGTGGGACCATTATATTCATAGTTCAATTCAAGAAGCACCATAGCATGCAGACAAAGAAACTAGAGTCTTAAATATGTGCAAGGAACTTAAAAGAACTGTCTTGCAAACACAGAGATGAGGGTTAACTGGGGAGGCAGAGGAGTGTCTCAGATTGTGAGTTTTTATGTTTGATATTTATATATATATATATATATATATATATATTTTTTTTTGGTATTGATTGTGTTGAAGGCGATGTGGAAGTACAGTGGCTGTACAGCTGGAGGAGGAGAGCCTGGTGAGGGCAGCATTACTGCCTGACCACTAAGACAATACTGTGCTGCTGTATGACTACAGCAGATAATGAGAGGCTAGACCAGGAGCCTACAGACTGCCCAAGGACATCATGCATTATATACGGCTTGCTCTTCTCTGCCTTGGCTTTGTTTTCACACAAACCCTTGGTCATGCCTCTGCTGGGCTCTGCTACATCAGCCCACACTAGGAAGAGTGAAACTCTACAACTGTCTGATCTCTGTGCATCTGCAGAGGTGTAGAAATAGCAAAGTTCCTAAATTACAGAACTTTATTAAATCAGACATTCCCAGTTGGAAAAAGAAAAGTTAAGTTGGGTTAATTTTTTTATCTGTTTTATTAGGATGCAATGATTACTCTGTTAAACAATGTTTCTATTCCAATATATTAAATGTGTATTACATTCTGTTATCCATTAATAATAACAATAAAAAAAAGAAACAAAAAAACTTACCCCATACTAACACAATGTACCGTAATGGGATTAAATACAATAGTGAGGCTGCCACAAACAGCATCAGGCAGGCCAAGCATGACAAGAATGGCACGGACCAGTTGAATATGCTGCAGAAGACAAATACAAGATAAGGTGATGAAATTAAAAACCAAATCTAATCAGAAAGTATAAACCTGCATGGAAATAATTTAGAATATCATCAAAAAACTTTTACATGATAAGTAATTTAAATTACAGCTAAACTCAGATTTAGAGTAGTTCTTATATGGCATACTTATTTTCAAAAAAAGATATTTGTAAATTAGAGCAATAAAAAACCCGAAAGTCGTGACATCAGAAAATTAAGATTTAACATAAGACCAAAACAAAAATTAATACAGAAACACCCTCCAACTGAAAGGGATGGGACAGGGGAGTATGTGTCCTTAATGCTTGTTCTGGGCTCCTTTTGCTTTAATCAGTGCATCAGTTTTGTCTGGTATGGAGGTGATCAGCCTGTGGCTCTACCTAAATGTCCACAAAACCAAAATTGCCCTTAGAGTGACCTTAAGCTAGTTTTAATTGTTTGGGCTGGGATACATCTCATCTTCCTCAAACAGCACTTCATAGAATGTCAATGAGGCTGCCAATCAAGCAGAATGACACCTGGATCACTAATGCAGGTAGTATTACTTTTGGCAGAGTAGATGGGAGTGAAGGCCTTCTGAAAAAAGATCCAGAGGAGTCAAAGTAGTTTCATAAAGCTTGTGTGCAAATTGAATCAAATTTCTCTTAAAATGTCCAGTGACTCTGGAGGTTATAAGACTCAGAGGACCATCACCAGTCTTCAAAATCATCAGATTTGGAAACTTCAGGCAGAACCTGAAGGAGCTTAGAGTCCCCTCTTCATTGCTCTCCTTCAGACTTTGAGACCTTGATTTCTAAATAAAATGCATAAACATACTTTTATAAAGAAAGAAGACTTTGCTCCACTTAGCAAAAGTCTGGCCCCCTTTCTCTTTAGCTGAGGTAAGATTTTTCTGACAACACCTTTGGGCCAGAAGTCCCTTAACACTAAGAATGTGGTAGCTGTGACCCATGTTTTGGATATATCAATTGTGGGGCATGGATCGTAGACTTCCTTTTTAACTCAACATCCAATTGTGAGAAAGCTCCTTGGAAAGGGTGTCAAAGACCATCGGCTGGACTAATGGCAAATCGGTACTCCTCCATAAAATTATGAAGCTCATAACTTTTCAGTACTTTTTTTTAATTGGTGTTATTTAATTACTAAATGTTGTAATGAGTCCCTAATCACCAGGATTAAATGAAAAAATTGTGATTTAATTTTTATTATTTAAACATGAGTGTTTAAATGAGTTTCACATAAAAAAAAAATACTGAAATAGTTCAACTTAATGTACTAAATTAACACTGAAAAATTAAAGAAATAGCGTAAGTAGTCATTACTTCTTGACTCGCTCCCCGATGTTGGCGATTTCCTCCAAAACATTCTGGACAACCAGCACCACTTCCTGGACCATATGTATTTTATCCATCAAACCCTTTTTGCCAGATTCCTGAAAAATAACAGACAAAAAAAAAATGCACAGACACTGATGAGGTGCACTGCATGTCAAATGTTGGGCAGAGTAGACAAAGACCAGTTTACTCCTGCCTTGCTATCATGTGTAATTTATCTATTGAATAGCCCATAATGAGCAAACACTATACATCTTCAGACTATGCTTTTGAAGATGAGGCAGATTCGGCTCTCAGAAGCTGTTATCCAGGATGGGCTGAAAGATTTCAGCTTTTGTGAGCTGCGCACAATGAAGCTGTTGCACAAGTGCAGCACAATCAAGACGCGCAGATAAGATGAAAAGTACACAAAATGGCCATCTGCAATCAGGCAGACTAGACAACCAAAAGAAGAAGTGCAGGGGCCTCACAACTTGGGAGAGTTTTTATTCTAGCAGTATGCACAGAGGTAAGCTGGAACATGTTTTTACAAATATGTCAGTTCTGTCTTTCTAACCTAAGCCAACATTCTCCAAGCGTGAGAAAAACACTTCAGTCTGCTTTGTAAACCAGTTGGATATAGAGTCCTTTGCCTTTTTTAAGGGTGATTCATGCACATGAGCATATTTTTTTTTCTGAAAAAGCACTGATAAAATAAACATTTTCAACCAGTAATTTGTTTCCTTAGATAGCCTGAGTGTCTATGTCCAGATGTAATATATGCGATCACATTGAGCTGGGAAATAACAACAGCTATGAAGCCTTCCAGGGCAGGGGAGTGCAAGATAACACGAGGAATACAAGCTAAAGAGAGCTGAGAAGCCTCAGATCAAAAGGAGGAAATAATGACAAGAATGATGACAGGGAGAAGAGTGGGAGAGGAAGAGTGAGAAGGAGAGGGGAGGGATAAGAGTGCTGGGGAGGACGCTCTAATGGACCCTAACAGGAGGCCTGAGGATGTCTATATGTTTGTGTAACAAGTCAGCTGAAGCCGCAGCCTGTGTGCACTGACAGGGCCCAGACAGAATGCCTTTATCAGAGCTCCACGAGGCAGCCCCTGGGAACACACTGTCTGCCAGCACTGAGAGACTCCCCACTGCTGGTCCTACTCTCCTCCCTGAACGGTGCAGGAAGAGAGCAATTCCCACACTAGTGGAACCTCCCCCGCTGGGCTCTGATCTGGACAGACACTGAAGCCTCAGCACTGTCCAAAAAAGGAAAAGGACCTCACAAATATGTTTTCTACCAGATTAATATCTGCTATCTCATGTTAAAAGAAGATCACGTATAGACATCATATTACACTGTTCCCACTGCATCAAGCAGTAAACTATCCCACCTCAAATGTTAACTGAACTCTTCTGCAATGCTTCAACGGCCTTTACAATCTGCAGCTTCTGATGGAGCCAGAACATATTTGTGACTCATGTCTGATTTACGGATATAAGGCTTACAGTAAGTGCAATGTAATTTGCCTTATGTGAAAAGGAAATGACTATGGTCCTACTTGAAATATACCCAAACCCAGAGCAACATATGGAGGACCAGAAATACAGAGACAAAAATGTTACTGTAGAAAGGAGGACATTAAATAATGGACAAAACATCCCTACAGCAAGGTGGTTGTGCTTGCATTTTAGTACATAAAGATTTTTCTTCATAAGCAAGAACAGGGTTTCAGATTTAATGCTGATAAATGGATGGAAGTACATTTGGAAAAAAAAAAAAGATAAAAAGCTTCAAAAGCAAAGCTCGGGGCAAAGATTTACTTCCCATCAAGATGAAGACCCAGAGACTCAAAACATGCAGGTACAGGCCTACAATGGATTGGTGTAGATCACAACATATTTGCATCTTAGAATGACCCAGTGAAAGTAAAGACCCAAGTCATTCTAGACTTTTTAATGAGACTTGAAAAATTATATTTTCAGATCCTGTCTGTCCCATATTACTGAAATCAAGCTATTTACGGAAAAAAATAGAGCCAATCCTATGGGGCAAATCAGTGAGGACTCTTACAGCAAAGCAGAATTGTGCTAGTAGTTACCATAAGTGGTGTCCGAATAATGCTGAAAGTTAATGAAGGAGGTAGGAAGAGGAAGAATAATGCTTCCTTTTGATAGTTAATTTCTCATAAGGACCTCCAGACATTCATATCTTCTGCAGAGAAGCTACACAGTTGCTCACAATCCATTGTTTCACAGGATGTAAAGTGAAAGTATTTTACTTTTCTCTTTGACGTCACAATTATGCTCAACATCGTGTTTGTTTAACAGAATTACATCTGTGCAGGTTAGAGGTTGTATCATTTAAAAAAATTTGAAAAGTTCAAGTGGGATAAATACTTTTACAAGGCAATACAACCTTGGCAAAAAAAAATTTGACTATCCTCTAATTTGAAAAACAAAAAATAACTTTCAAACATCCACTCCAGAGAACCTGCTTTATGATTCTCCAAATCCAAGCTTTAGCTATCAAAAACTAAGATACCTTTTACATTATTCATTAGATGAGATTCTTAGTTCCTTTTTTTGAGTCATGTACCCCAGTGTAGAACAAATTAAATATCTCCATCTTAAACCTTAAAGATGGGTAAAATGGGGATGGACTAAATGATTGTAAATTTTCCCCTGATTAAAGAGCCTGCGCGGAATCACATTTTCATTTCAGATAAATTGTAAAAGCTTTCTTTTAAGGTGCAGTAATGGAGAACCAATTTGATCTCCTGCAGAAAGGTAAACACAGTCCCGCAGACATGTGTGCCGTTATCAAACGTTGGAAATAAAAGCTCATTTAGCATAATTTTAATTAGAATGAACCATGCCAAATTTGAATTCTCAGACTGAATATTTATCTTGCGACTCTTTCAGGTGAAAATATGAGTTTGTCAAAATGAAAAACACCTGTGTTTTGAGCAATTTATCTCCTGGAGCTTAAGTAAACTAAAGCAGTTATGCTGCAGTGAGGATTTAAGGTGGTGCTGCTCCCAGGATACACACAACAGATCATGGGTAGCATGTCTAACTGGTGTTTTCAAGAAACCAGGCAGTAAGTGCAGGGTACTGGTTGAAAGATTCAGCAACTCCAAAGCCCAGATTGGCAACCCCCAACTACAATCCCAGCCCTTATCCACCCCCTTAACTCCCACTGGCAAAGCTCTGAGAGGAACTCAATGTCGGACCGGCAGCACCAGCAGCCGGAGGGCAACAAAAAGGGGCCGTTTCATCTTCCCCGCTAATATTAGCAAGATATCTTAGGACTTGCTTTGCCTCTGTGTCTTTATGTTATGATTACATATCATCTATCTGCTCAATTGATACCCGAGGCCAAAGGGAAGTCACTTTGCCCACACATAATCTGTAAGCTGTCTCCTTCCCTGAGGACAGATTTGTTCACAGGCAGAAAATCTGCTCCGCATTACTCTGCCGTAACACTGACTTTGCTTTCGTCTCTCTTTAACGTCATGCCTTCACATGCTTCCTGCTCCAGCTGAGGTTTACATATTTCCCTCCTCAAGGGTGGTGGGGGTAGAAACACATACGAGTTGTAATCATAACTTTTTTCAGGGGGAGAAGCCTTTATTCATATGCTGAAGGAGAAACTGGGAAGGGAGCGCAAGGCTTTGAATACATCAAATTTAACGCTGATCACTCTTTAACCCCAAATATTTTTTAAGAAGGCTTTGAAAGGCCTTGTAAAGCTACACCGTTTGATCAGGCCGAATGATATCGCATTCAAGTGACAGCAAGACCATAACAAGAATTTCAAATAAGCCACTTTAAATTAAAGCTGACAGCTTAAAACAAACATGGGTGAGTGCTTAATTAGTAAATGAAAGGACATATTTCATTCCCAGCAAGTGTGAAAGGGCTTTGGAGGCTCATGGGAAAGCTTTTAAAAAGCTTTAAGAGGAGAGAGTTGAGTTTGCAAACATGTGGCATGGAGAGACCCATGAAGCAAAGACCCTGCCATTTCTTCCATGTAAAAGAAAAATCCTTTCATATAAACTGAAGTTTCAAGGTATGTCAAAGCAAGATAATAAATTTAGTGCATCAAGATAATCCTTTCCTATTAAGCATGCATAAACCCAGTACTTTTTTGTCCCTGCTGTTTGTTAAAACACTGATTTCTCCTTTTGCAGATAGAAAGTGTGGCTTTACACCACACTGACATATCATGCAAGTTTCATCTGCGAATTAGCTCATCCCTTTCAGACAGGATTTGGTGGACGTGCCTTTGAAAAAACAGGAAAAGGGAATCTAGCTCTTCTGTTGCCTCTGGTCATCTGCAGCAGAATATATTGAGCGCATTATGGATATGAATCCCGGGCCTAGACATGCAGCACAAGGGGTCAATGCTCGAAGGCTCCCAGTTAGTTTCACACTTCATTGCCATAAAACAATAATGCGAATCCCTGTAAACTTATTTTAGTTTCTTTAGCAAAAAGAATTGGATGAGTATAATTGAATGTGGTGTGCTGTGGGAAGTATAATTTTCAGACTACTTAAACATTTCCTTTTTCTTTGTCAAGAGACACTGGAGTTGAAGTTAAAAAAAACAAACAAAAAAGAGAGGCAAATTATTAAGTCACTATTGGGTCAGCATTTTTGTTTTGACACCCCGATATAACTTGATAGAAAAAGTTGTTTAAACTGCCTTAAAAATTTATTAATAACTCTTTGGACATTTTTGTTAAGCTACAACCACATGTTTTTCATTGGGCTTTTCACATTCTGCTGCTCAAAACGCTTCAAATCTTTTTTAGGATGTCTCAAAAAGATTTGTCTATATGTATGTCTATATGTGTGTCTGCATACATATAGACTGAAACCTTTGAAATTTCCTCCTTAACAAAAACACTGAGGCTCAATCAGCTTGAATGAGTGGTGGGCACCAATTTTCAATTTTTGCTTTTATTGAATTTATATCTAGACTTTTACTGGACCACATGCAAAGGCTTCTATTTAGACCAATCCCTTGTACTGAAGATCTGGAAATACAGTATGAGGTTGATCTCCGCCTAGAAGGGGAAATTTTTGCACCAATCTTTTGACCTTTACAGCATTTCTTAGGTTTTCTTTTGTCCTCTATCTAGCTTTATTCATCTTATCAGCTCTGCTGAGCTCTCTTATTGGTGTTTAAAAATTTCCACATATCATGATGCACCAAAAATGCTTCTTATAAACGAAATTATCAAAATTAAAACCTGAAACTGAGAAAACATTCTTGTTACCTGAAAGAAATAAAAACTGTAACATAAAGGAAAAACTAAAACAGACCGACATTTTACTATAGGTTTATAAAACTAGCTCAGCTGTACTATAATAATATAAACCTTTTTTTTTATGTTTATCAATGGATCTCTAAGCCTTGCTAAATTATTTGAAGTGTCTTAACTTAATACAAAACTAAACTGAAACAAAATATTAAAGGTATGGTGAAGGACAAATTTTTGAAAAGACCCGCCTTCTCCACCTGTAATCGCTGCCAAGAGGGAACGCCTATTAAACACGTGCAACAGCATGCACAAGACCATTTCTCCTCGTGCACGCTCTGTTTACAAGTTGCTGTTTGCATCGCTCAAACAAGCTTACTTCACAAAAGAAGATTTGCAATTCCTCCACCATGTCAGACTCACCACCGGTAAGTGAAAATGGGGTGAGCACTTAGGACGCCCTTAAGTAAACATATCACCAGAATGACTGAAAATAAGGATGACCACTTATTTTATACCACCCGGAAAAAGAGCATCCTCCACTATACCTTTAAATAATAGCAACTGACAATAAGTAAACCCCTCCACAAACTATTTAAATCTAAATCAGAGTTAAAAAAAAATCTTGCAAAATAAAACTTAACTATAGTGAAAAGTCCAGAAGTATAATAACTTTACTCCCGACACAAAGATTACTGTCATGGTGGGGTGACCAGTGAGACATACAGTTTTAATACATCTCTGTCTTTTCCAGTCTTACGGTCTCCCCTAAGTATGCTGCTCAATGCAAGCAGGAATTCAAATGCCGTTATTCTCCAACAGCTTTCTTTATTCCTCTATGCCCACAGAGGCCAGATTTTTTAAGGGCACGCTTAAAAGTTTTCTTGTATTCTTAAATCCGACTGAGCATCAATACAAGCATACCCTAACTGTGTGTTTGATTTAGCCCTTGATTTGTAGAAATAAAATAAAAAAATTTACAAAATAAAAATACATATACATATATGTGTAATATTTTCCTACAGTGGTTTATATAAGATTGTTCAAAGAATTTATACATTCTGGTCATGGTAGAAATAAACAGCTAATAAAATTAAATCAAATACATTTGAATATTTTAGCGCTAGATAGGATAAGCTACCTTTTCGTCTTCCTCTTCGTCGTCACCCATGGCCATGTTCACCTATGAGAAAATAAAGGGTATGGGGTGATTTCCAACGAATGAGACATGTGGGCACTGGAGCATTTTTAACAAACACCTAGTAATGAAATTTTCTTTGAGCACATTCACCCCTATTGGGAGAGGCTTGTTTCCATAGAGACTGCATCACAGGGGTGACCTCACACAAAAGGAGAGGTGAAGAAGGGCCTTCCTCGCAAGAGCACTGTCACACCAAAAGCAATCTCTTTTCTCCACAACATAGGCACACAGAAAAACAGAAAGACAAAAAAGAAAGAGGAAGGAAGAAATAAAAGAACACATTTAATTTGGATGTTGTTGCCTAGATAACTTTATATCAAGTCATCCCTGACCCTGCTGTGGTGCACATTGTGACATTGCCCGGGTGCAGAGCATTGACATTGCTGGCCGTAGGGTCTCAGTGGGTTGACAAAATCTTACGCTGGATATGAGGGTGAGTCTGTGGACATTGCCGAGAGACAGCATCTCAGCCAGCAGCCTTGAACACAGTGACTGGGCTATGAGTTTGACTTTGGGGAGGATGTGGGAGTGGGCCTGAACTATGGCTGGTGAGCGAAAAGGTTTATAACTTGGCAAAATTGGGGGCCAATCAGAAGCGTGAATAGCATCAAACTTAAAAGGAAAGAGTACAGAAAGCAGCATTTCAAAAAAAGTAGAGGCAGAATATTCAAAGCTGAAGCAAAAATGTTCCACGTAAGGGCAAACGTTAAGATTTACAAACATCACCATACATCACACTAGTAATTCTTGTTGTTTTTGCACACTACCATTTAGAACCAATGCAAAAAGGCTTATAGAAGCAGAGCAGCCATGCCTTTTTTAAGGAAAAGATGGACCCTATATTTTAAATGAGAATTAGTGTCTTCTCCAGCATGGTACACATTAATATCCCTTTTCCTTAAGTTTCCTACATATATTTGAAATTCACTGACTCTAAACCAGAATAAGTGTCACCTCTGCATGATTACATTGAGTTTTGTTGCACTATTTGCACTGACTCCTATCCAAACTAAAGGGTCTACTTTCTCTAATTAACTTAAGCAGGTATGGCAAGTTCGCACAAAGAAACAATGTGGTGATGAACCCAGCTAATCCAAAGCTTAGGTTAAAGTTTTTCATTTATAGATTTCCTCTCCTTTTTCTTTGCGTACAAACATCTGAAATCATTAAACCACTACAAAGACACTGAGTAAATAACATCCAGTTTTCAGATATTAAGTAATATCCTGAAAGAGGAGCTAGAAAAGATGTGGAAAGTAAGATCAGCAGTGGTGCTAGTGGTAATTGGAGCACTGGGGGCTGTGACCCTAAAACTGAGAGAGTGGCAACAGCAGGTTCCAGGTAAAACATCAGAGGTCTCTGTCCAGAAGAGTGCAGTCCTAGGAACAGCTAAGATACTGCGCAGAACCCTCAAACTCCCAGGCCTCTGGTAGAGGACCCGAAGTTGAGGAAGACACATACCACCTTACGAGTGGTGAGAAAATAGGGTTTTTTTTTGTTGTTTTTATATATATATATATATATATATATATATATATATATATATATATATATATATATATATATATATATATATATATATATATATATATATATATATATACATGTATACATACACATTTCAATATGCAAAAAGAAGTAGCAGAAATTACAAATATAAATAAATATAAATGGAGGCATTCTATTCTTTTGGCATTAAATTAAGTCTAATACACAATATGAAAAAAAAAAACTCTCTGTGGTATAACAACCTGGCTAAGCTAAGCTAGACTAGGCTAATTTAATCTGAGAAAAAAACAGAATAAAAAGAAAAGAAATTGGGTCTAAACATGCTAAACTATAATTTGGAGGCATGTTGTCTTTATTTGATCCTAGAAAACAATAATACACACTTTTGTACAGGTGTAGTTTCTCTTTGCTATTTACAGTTGAAACTAACAAATGTTATTTCTTTATATAAATGCATGTATGAGATTTTAAGTTTGGACTGTTTTAGCAACTAAATTGTGTATTCAGGACAAAACAGAGCAGAACTGCTCGCTGGGACTGCTCGAAATGTAGAGTCTAGAATCCATCCTAAACAGCTAAGGATGGATCACTGAACACACCACAGGATTATCTCACTGATAATTAGGGTCAAGATCAGGGCAGAAATTGGCACTATTATCTTGCAGAGTGACATCCCTTTACCTTCTGAAGATGGATACAGGCTCTGTTCTTTTCTATTCTATTTTACAGATGGACAGGGCTCAACCTTAAAAATCCCAATCCTTTAGTAATGGATTTTTTCAATATTCCCTCATAAATTGTGAGGAAACTAAAAACTGAATCACAATTAGTACATTTTTGTTTTACAGTAAAAGGCATGTACTTATATAGCGCCTTTATTCAAGTCAGGAGACTTGACCAGAGTGCTTTACACTACATCCATTCACCTATTCACGCACACACTCACACACTGATGGTGGCAAGCTACATTGTAGCCACAGCTGCCCTGGGGCTTACTGACAGAAGCGGGGCTGCCGTACATTGGCGCCACTGGGCCCTCTGACCACCATCAGTAGACAATGCAGGTGAAGTGTCTTGCCCAAGGACGCAGTGAAATACTAACTTTATCCTCATTGTTTTGATAACCATTCTTTTGTCTTGAATGTACAACTGTAAATTCAGATAGAATTGGAGAATCCATGTACTTGTTTGATTCTGAATGATGTATGGAGTTGTATTAGCAGGTGACTACTGTTTATGGATACGTACTGAAGACTCGTCATTACTCACCAGATCCTGGTTGGAGCTGGCCTTTTCCCTGGAGAGCTGGATGTAGTTCCAGCCGATGAGCAGCAGCAGGAAGAGAGGCAGCATGAAAAGCTCCCAGTGCCATACTGTAACCAGGAAAATCTAAAGAGACAGGACATGACAGTTTTCAAGCAAAGCACAAGAGGCTGTACGTCCCTCAACAAGCTTTCAACAAAACCTGTTCCCTTAGCAAAATATGTAACAGTCTTAACCACGTCCCAAATCCCATGAAGAGCCCTCTAAAGCCTCTGAAATGCATCCCCAATGACAACAGATTTTACTCCTGGTTGTTGGTGAGAGAGGAATTCAACTTTTTAATATCTTAAAATCTTATTTGCAGTGACATTCTACTGGCAGCTTGCCTGTCTGCTGGAAAGAAAGTACGACATGAATAGGCATGATGGTGTCCTTTTAACTTTCCGATCAAATCCTCTTAGATTCAGAGGCAGTGTTAGTCTGACGAAGCACATATGGCAACTGGGGAAGCATGTGCAACGTTTACCCCCTCTGTGGCAATGATACTGAGAAAAGTCATGACCCCTGGTAGAAATAAGATGGCTCACGCTGAATGAGTAATCCTTTATAATTCTGTAAAAGGAGTGGTGCTAAGCACATCGCACAACACCCACAGCATCTCACAGCAGCGCGCTAATTGGATGGCTGCATTTAAACCCATTTACTGACAGCCTAATGAGTCTGTCTCTAACTGAAACGATCGAGAATGTGTGAGGGGGGGAAATCACACAAGCAGGTTGATGGGGATGAACTAAAATTGTCCCCCGCAGAAAGATAAATTTTAAAATCTATTACAGTCTAAAGAAGTGCAAACACCTCTAAGATATGGTCAGCTTTTATTTACCAGAGAGACATTTTCCCTTAGAACTTCTTATGTAATTATCAATGCAATATAATCATTGCACCATTGGAACGGATACTCATTAAACTTTCCAGAGTAAGAAAAATGAAGAATCTTCAATTACTTTGAATATTAACCTCACTAGATAAAGCAGTGAATAGCACTTCCAAATTCAAGTCGATTTTGCAATAACATGTTTTTGGTGATGGAGAAGTAAAGAAGGTGTGAATTGCTATACTTTATGCCTCACAAATTGTGTTTCAAAGGACCTGTTTTCTGAATAGAATTCAGTCCAGATGGGATTTCTGTAAGTATTACAATTTTAAAGGAAGAACCCATCTAAGCAGCTGCTTAAGACAAAAGGGAATCCAGCTACCTAAACTCTCTTCCAGATAAAAGGTTTCACCCATCTCAAAGAAAGTAAAAAAAAAGTTCAGTAAAGAATTTCCAAAACAAATATGGAATAACCTTTTCCTATAAAAATGTGAAAAGTAAAAACTATGAAAAAGCATGCAGATTTATCCCTCTAGTTGTTCACCAACTTTAGTATTTTTGATCAAAAAGAAAAAGCAGAGGTCTGTAAATCAGATGATCCCTCAAAATGTTGGCTGCAGCTTTATTAGCGTGTCACAAGGTGCCAAAATGTTCCCTGAAAGTACTTACAAATAATTCAGCTCTCATCAATCACTTATTGATCTCAGATGTTATTTTTTCCACATGGGGTATTCAAAGGATTGTCAAACAACTGAAAAACCTGTATCTTTCATATTTCAGTAAAAGTCTGCAGTGTATTTCTAATTTTAATCCAGTATAAACCTTTGCAATAATTGTGTTAAGGTTTACGGTAGTTCATAATTCAAAGTAATGTTTTTTTTTTTATTATTATTATTATTCAATCTACAAATAATTATGCCTTATTTAGGATCCTGGTGAATTTGCTGTTGTAATTTTGGAGAAGCAAAATGTTTCAATAATGTTTTTGTTTTATTTGCATTCAAAAATCTTAAGAAACTGGAACTAATGAAATCAACTTATTAGAAGTTTTGTTAAAACAAAAAAAAAAAAGGCCAAACAACAGAGCTGTGCTAGATGCATCCAAACAGTGACCATATTTATAACCAGGACTGAACTGTCAGACGGAGCAAACTCTGTGCAGTTCGGGCTCAAAGAGCTTGAGGGTTGATGGTAGAAAGAATATGTTTCAGTTAAGCTTCAGACAAGACGAGAAGATCTGAGGCCTTTGGGCTTCAGCAGGCCTCTAAACGGCAGACTGCTCCTGTCATAGCAGCAACGCAGAGTCCGTGTATTTTGCTCTGGGGGCCACTCTACCTACTGCAAGACCAAGCTTAGGTTCAATCAGCCACTAGGGAAATGGTAGTATGAGTAATACAGACAACACCGTGGCCCACTGCCCTGGGCTTTACCATTGTACTGTTTATTTTCCTGTGAAATGATTGGTGATCCCACCATCAGGCAGAAACACAGTGGGATTACCACGAAGCAACAAAGTGGACAGTAGGAACAATATGTTTTAGCTAATAGGAGCTCATTTAAATTATGTATACAGCAAATAACAAGAGCTTGTGAGGGACAAAGAAGGTAAACCATGAATATGCATGATGTGCAGAGATAGCTGCACTACATCCCCTGTGTGTTATGAATAACTTAAGTCATATGTTGTCACCTCAGTTCCCATGAGGCAATTCTAAAACGACTCTACCCTCACCCCAGAGAAATGCTGGTGGGTCTTGGACAGGTAGCTTGTCATATTCCCAGCATTCTTATACAAAAAAGCGAAAAGAAAAAGTGGGGAAGACTGCCTGGAAACTGACATGAGCCCAGCAGGAACGCTAAACCTTTTTGCCCTTCCCGCAAAAGCTACTACATTAACCACTAAAGTCTAATTGCTTGGTCTCTGTCTTCCTGTTCAAGTCAACAGAGGGAGCCTATTCATTTCTGCCCAGGGAGCCAGCAGAGAGAATCTGTCACAGGTATTCATAATCGCCCACTAATGCAAATTTCTTCTAACCGTGTTCTGGCTCAGTGGAGAAGATAAAAGCCTGCAGAAATACAATGCTTTGTGTCTAAACTGAGAGCCTAAATGAAGGGAATAGACAAAAACTGTCAAAAATATATTCTTCCTCCCTCACAGTGTGTTAGAGGGATATGGTTAGGATTCACTGTACATGCTTTTTTTTTTTTTTTTTTTAACAAACAGAAACAACTGGGAAAACCTTTAAATTTTATTTCAGTCAGGTGCAAAGACCGAGACTCTGTGTCAGACATCCTGGAGTAATGAGGAGAGGCAGGCCTATGCTGTCGACTTGTCTCCTTATATTCTACATTGTTTCCGTAAAATAGAGACATAGCTAATTCCTCTGAAAAAAGGTTTGTGTTAGAGTAAAACATTGCTTGGTGATTAAAGGACATGTTGGACCAACTAGAGCCTTAAAAAGGAAATTTGTATTTGAAAAAAGACAAACAAGGGTATTGTTTTCCTGGGTTAAAAAGTACTTTTTTTTTCTTTTCTTTTTTTGAAAAAAACTACGTAACAAAGGTAAAATCTTGAGCAGTTTTAACAGCATATGCCTATCTGATCATTAAAGAGGTGACTAAAATGTGAAGTTATTAATAATTTTTATTGTTATTACATTATGTTGAATAATGTTATACCTATTTATTACAAATACGTATGGTGGGAAAAGGTGCACAGCCAACAGGCATAATCGCAGCCTAGAGAGGATCATGGAACAAGGATCCTCCAATAGTTTTAGGAAGATGTTCAGGATGTGAACTGCAGCTAGAGCCAGTGCGTCAGAGAAATTAATCCAGGACACTGTGTATAACTGTCGCGTTCCTTGTATAAAGCCAGGAGGGGAACGCCCTATCCAGTCCCTTTCGAAAAAAGGAACTGAAAAGTTGCTCAGTGCCATAATCTTAAATCTTCCTTTTAGATTAAAAGATATTTTGCATGTCTGTTTGAAATTCAAGATCAAGAGTCTGAAGAAAAGTTTAAAGGTAGTTAATTTAAACTGTTTAAGGTTGTGTGTGGTTTCCACTCATATGTGATGATTTCACGATCAATGTAATTTGCTGGTACGGGTAGAATTGTTATATAAACTGCAAAAATGATACCAAACTTATGAGTCTGGTTTGCCAACTGCCAACAATGCATAAAGTACCAATAGCTGCTTTAGTTTCCATAGTATCACTGTTTGACTGACCTGACCAAAGATCAAAAGAAAATCTCTGAGTTATTGACAGAAGGGACACCAAACCCATTCTGAATAATCTAAAATTTGCCATCAGCGCATCTGGGTATTGTTAAGACTTAAGCAGACACACAGGCTGATCCCCTCTATGCCATGATGCATTGATGCAGGTATATATAGACATGCTTCTAAGCAGGCTGACATCTCAGTATTGAACATCATTTTGCCAAATGGGTGTTATATTATTTATTTCTCTGGGAAACTGCATAAGCTTTCTATAGCTGTAAGCCATCATCATCAAAATGACAGGAAAAGGAATGCACAATATATTATATATATATTTATATATATATATATATATATATATATATATATATATATATATATATATATATATATATATATATATATATATATATATATATATATATATATATATATATATATATATATTGCTAAGATATATATATTACATTATATAATAGTATATGAGTTTCTATCCTTAAATTAAAATACTGCACATGTAAAGCAACAAAAGCTGTAAGAAATAATGAAGCATTCAGGTATTTTGGTTTACACAACAAATTAGCTAACAAGCACTTGTAATTGAAGTGTTGGTATGTGAGTATTGAAGGAGTGTTTCTAATGTAGAAAAACCTCCCTTGGCAAACACAATTTAGCTGAAAAATGTCTGTATGATTATGCAAAGGGTACCTAAGGGGTAAGAAAAAAAAAAGAAGAATGAATTAATAAAACTATTAACACACGGTGGAGGAGATGATGGAGATGCACTCTCCTTAGCCACCTGTAAGCGCTCGGAAAAAGGGACTGACCCCGGGCAGAGCGTCTCTGCCAGGAGGGGTTAAGAACGGCCTGACAGGTTTGTTTTATGGCGCCATTAATATGATTCCACTAAATGCGTTCTGCGCCTTCTCAAGCGGCTCCCCTGGCCAGCAGAATCCAGCACCTAATAATAAAGCACTCAGCGATTAAAAGTGTGAATAAAATAACTTAAAGCTGAGCAAGCATGGCAG